AAAATGAAAACAAAACTTTTAGGTTTTATGGACATCAGTGAAAATAGAAATATGTAACTATATAGAGAGATATGGATATACACACACAGTTCAAAAATAAAAGGTTCTCATCAGCTGGAGAGATGATTCAGACATTAAAGGCCAAGCTCAAACTGAAAATGAAAAAAATGAAATGTTCTCGTTGATCAGTGGTTCCTAACTACAACTCTTCTGATGCAAGTGTACCTACTACACCTCATCAAATAAGCTTCTCTGGACTGCATATCCATCACCAAAAGCCACAACTGGACACAATGCCAGAGAGCAGTGAGAAGCCCAGGCCTAATGATCACATCTATACCATAGCTACTGCATCTATGCCTCAGGGAAATCACAGAAGAAGGGGCCGAAAGACTGCAAAAGCCAAAACACCAGGAAGCCTGGTTTGAAGCAGCCACTCCCAGAAATGGCTATATAAACAAGACCAGAATAAAGCAATCTTTATATATGCTAACAGAGAAAGAGTGAAATTTTCTGAGATCCAATTTCCAGACAAGGAACTATAGGCTACTGTAGTGTTTTGAACAGACTGGCCACCATAAGCTCATATATTTGAATTCTTATTCACCAGGTAGTGACACTATTTGAAAAAAATTACAGAGATTGGAAGGTGTGGCCTGGGACTGGTGTGCTCCTCTTGAAGGAAGTGTGTCACTAGAGGTGGGCACGAGGTTTCCAAAGTCCATGTTAGGCTCAGTTCTCAGTCTCTCTCTGTCTCTCTCTCTGTCTGTCTCTCTGTCTCTGTCTCTGTCTCTGTCTCTCTCTCTCTCTTTCTCTCTCTCTCACTCTCTCTCTGTCTCTCTCTCTCTCTCTCTCTCTCTCTCTCTCTCTCGCTATGCCCCAACTATGATGACCATGTCTTAAACCTCTGAAACTGTATTAAAGGCTTCAATTAAATTTTTTTCATAAGAGTTGCCTTGGTCATGGTGTCTCTTCATAACAATAGAACAGTGACTAAGACAGCAACTAATGGTTATATTTACAAATTCGTATGTGTTTGTGTAAGTGTGTGTGTGTGTAGCAGTAATAATAATAAAAAAAAGGCTATAGATGTCAGAGTGAAAGTAATCGGGAGAGATTGGAAAGGGAATGAGAAGGGCTGGAATGAAGTTACCATGGAGGGGCTAGAGAGAGAAAAGAGAAGGGGGAAAGTGAGGTAATTATATTTCAATTAAAATGTATTATAGAATAAAAACCATCAAAATTCAAATATATGCCCAATGAGACATCAACATTTTCATTAAGCCTTCTGAAATAAAAATCTATTTGTTTTATCTACATGTATTATCTTTTTCCACAAAAATCAATATAGGGCAAAATGTATGAAAAGAAATCAAGAAAAATTTGAAATTAAAAATCTAAATTTATATTTTAGTAAACTAAGTATGGAAAAGCAAATCAGACCCAAGAAAAACAAGGAAATTAATAACATAATTTAAGTGGAACACAATGAAGATGTTAATTGCAAACAGATCCACTGAATGTCTACCTGAACACTTCATTAAAAACTGTGAAAACTCAGAAGTGGTCTTAAGATCTCTCCTAACAGTTGAGTGGATATGTTGACTGTGGTGTATCCAGATGATGAAATGTTATTAGACACGTAAAATAAATGAATGTTGGCTGAAGAGAAGGCTCAGTAGTTAAAATCACCTGCTACTCTTCAGAGGCCATAAGCTCAGCTGCCCCCTACCACAAAAGGAAGCTTACAACTGTCTATAACTTGATCTCCAGAAGATCAAACACCCTATGATGGCCTCAGTGAGCACAAAGCCACCCAGACACACACATATACACATAATTTAAAAAATTAAAAAGAAATAAGTGATTTAAACAATTAAAAGGCATCAAGGAAATTTAAAAGCCTGCCACTCCGTGAAATAGTCAATCTAATAAGATTACATCCTACATCATAACAACTATGTGACATTTAGAAAAGAAAAGCACAAAAGATGATCAGAATGTCAGGTGTGCACTAGACTGGAGGGGGAGTAGAACTGGGCAGATCACAGAGTACTGGTTCTTCAAAACTGTAAAAGTAGTCTTCACAGCATGGGAGATGCATGTTAGCATCCATTTTGTCCAAACTCATGGCATAAATAGTACCTTAAGTAAACCCTTGCTGTAAGCCTGAGACTTTGAGGAAAGGTGAAGGTTCAGTGTAAGGTCAACAATGATAACGAACTTCCCACTGGGAGGAGTGACAGTGGCACAAGACAGAATTGCTATTGGAGGAGCTACTGAAAAATGCACTTTAAGCAGGGCTCTCTCTCTATCCCCACCTGGAGATACATGTCTCTTCACACAGAAATAGCAGCTTCCAAATTACTAATTCAACGTACTCTTCAGTGTGTAATAACAAAGGCTTTGACCTAGCTCTTCCATGGATTTTAGAACCCATCAAAGAGATAATAGGTTGTGTCTGCTTGTTTTTGTTTTGGTTTGTTTTCTGCCAGGAAGTTTAAGTTACTAGTGGTTATTTATGCCAAAATCCACCAACTCTGCATGCAGACCTAGTGATATTTTTATTCTATAATATTGTCTATTTGAACTATATCTCTCTAAATCTTGTTATAAATAATATAAATTATTTTATATTCTAGGATTTTACTTATTTTAGTTTCTTTTGAAAGTGATCTATAGTGGATAGAAAGCAGAAGAGAATGATGAACGCTCTTGGCTGGTTCAGCCAGCCCTCAACAAGCATTTAAGTGTTTTCTTTTTTAAAAAAAAAACCAATCCCATTGAACGTTATTCCTCTCCAGAAAACAAAACTATGGCCTACATGTCACCATCCACCAGAAAACCACTTATCCAAACAGGAAACAAAGAATCTATGAGATGACGCCTCTGCCTCTGGACACCTCTTCTCTACAGAAATTCCAAACTAAAGAGAGACAGCAAATATCATAGCACAGTCATCTCAGGAACTAGACATTTTGTCTCCACTATTCTGACTAGCAAAGCAAACACAGGCCCATGCCTAATAAGATCCTCAATGAAATTAAAATAAAATATATCAGCAAATTAAGATATATTAGTTGGTGAGAGCAAACAAAGCTCACATGCAGTCACCAGCTACACACAGGCCTGCAAGCAAATACTAAGGAAGGCGATAGGCAGTCATGTTCCCCAGAGCATGACAGTTCGTGAGAAATGCTGTTAATTTATGCCCCATTTGAACATAATAAATGAAGTAAAATATTTAAACTTCACAAATGAATAATAGGTAACAGTTAATTATGTCTCAGATATCAGAGGTATAAAGAGGAAATCTATTTTGGGGGGCTTATGAGTAGACTACCTTCTAGATACCAACTTATAATAGCCACATGACAGTTCTTAATGTTCCACACTGAAGATTAATAACTCATTTCTTCAAATCTTACTTTCCTCACAGTGGTCTGTGAATACGGTACACCCATAAATCTCATCTTGAGTAAACCTAAAATTATACAGCAGAGCCTGTCTGATTGAGATGTAACTACTGAGCTAAAGTAGGACTCAGTTCATCAAAAGTTTTACTTAGATTTCAGTATGGCTGTCAGCATATTTCAGTGGAGTATTATATAATTCAGAGCCATTTAATGGATAATGATGTAAAATGTGGTTGTAACATATTCCTTCAGTCTCAATCATTTGAATTCAGATAATTCCAGTGATGTGTCTTTAAGGAAAAAAATCTACACTTAAAGCACTTTAGCAAGACATGAATATTATTAAGCAGAATTTTCCTAGTTCAATATCATTCTAGCAGTAAAATGTTTACATTCCATGAGATTCAAAGAAATCTAGCTTCCTTATAACTCCACATAGCACTATTAATACATGTGCTCATTTGTTTTGTTTATATGAATTCTTCAATCAAGTTATCATTTCATACGCATGTTTTTTTTTATTTGACCTGCTCTCTGTGTTGTTTTCATTTTTGTTTTTGTTTTGTTTTTTTTCAGACAGGGTTTCTCTGTATAGCTTTGGTGCCTATCCTGGAACTAGCTCTTGTAGATAGGCTAACCTCGAACTCTCGGAGATCTGCCTGCTTCTCCCTCCCAAGTGCTGAGATTAAAGGCATGCACCACCACCACCCAGCTAATTTGACATACTCTTAAAATATGTTGAAATAAAAAGTTGTGAGGCATAACCAATAATCTGGAATCATATCAGAAATTAACTTCTTCAACTGGGTTTCAAAGCAGTAAAACATCCCCCCACCTACACACACACTGTAGTCAGTAAGGCTTGTGCATAACTATAAAACATTCAGAATACTTTAAAATCTACTTTACATTTACAAATTTAATATTTATTAATTATTTTTCTTGATCCTAGTGGTAGATATTGAATCTAGATCATCCTCAAGGAAAAGTCAACAGTTAACCTATAACTGAGATACAAGTCTTCTGTGGGACAATGGTTTTACTCTGTAAGCATTTGTATCTTGTACTTGTTTAATAAAATGCTGATGGGCCAGTAGCCAGGCAGAAAGTATAAGTGGGGCACCATGAAGGAAGTAGAGGCGGGGCAATGAGAACAGGAGAATTCTGGGAAGAGAATTCTTTATTATTTTCAGTTAATACTGACTTTCTAATGTGAAAAAGACTAAGTTTTTAAAGCAAACAAGCCATAACAATTTGGCACTATTTCAATAATGAAGTGTCCATAATATGGTATTAGTATATAGATCTAAGCAAATCTCAAAGACAGTAGATTAGAAATTAGAACATCATGCAATGTTGATTTTAGCAAGAGACTTAACAGGTAAAGGAAGCATCTTATTACATTATAAATTCAAGTATGCAATTATAATTAACAAATTATAAAAATCCTCCCTTTTTACAGCCAGTTGTTTTGAATGGTTACATGAATGTGTAGTCAACAAGTCAAATAAACAAACACATCTACCCAAATTTACATCTCAGAATACCTAAGTAAACTGAAGACATTATTCAGATGAGTAAGTTCTATTCATTTTTGTCATCTGGGTGATCAGGTTGCAAAGGACATGCTTTTCTTTTCGATGTTCCTAAGCCACTGCATCCTGCTTCCTCAGGAACCTGGTTCTCTTTTTCAGGATCTTTAGGAGACAGCCTGAAAAATTCTCCAATGCCTTTTTGCCACTTTGGAGTTGGACGCACACAAACTGGATTCCCTCCTGCATACTTATTTTCAGCTTTTCTCAACGAACACGATGAAGAATTGGTGGCAAAGGTGGAGGAGCCAAGCACCTTCCTGGGGGCTCGAGAAGCCACCACTTTTCTGTAGGCTCCTGGGACGTAGTTTGTTTGGTCCGCACCATGTGCACACAGCAAGAGACAATTCACACCAACGCCCTAGCTGCGGATGTCTTAACTGAACAAGAACCCGAAAATGACTGGGAAGAGGATTCTACAGTCTGCTGTTGTGACCCAGCAGCAGAGGAAGTAAGATGTGACTGCCTCACCGAAAAAGATACCAGGCCATGTGACTAACTCAGACAAGAATTATGGGCTAATATAAGTCATAAGATTAGTAAATAAAAAGCCTGAGCTAATGGGCCAATCCGTTTATAACTAATGTAGACCTCTGTGTGATTCTTTGGGACCTAATAGCTACAAGACTGGCAGGACAGAAAAGCTCAGTCAACACAAGTCTCAACTCAATTCTACAATTTTTTTTTCTGTGCCTAGTACATGTCAGACACGATGCATTCTTTGAAGAAGTTACAGTCTAAGAGATCAATATTTAAAAATATAATTATAATTAAATGTGGCCAGTCCTCTGAAACCAGAAGATGCCATAAAACCAAGCATGAAAGTCCTAGAAAAATGTGAGCAAGTCAACCAAATGAAAAGTAGCTACTTTAACAAATACATGGAAACTTGTGTCCAGTATATATTTAAGCTAGTCAAAATAGTCAGAAAGTTTAAGATGGTCCCTCTTCTTGTAAAGATTTTAATCAAGCAAGCATAAAGATGATTAAATGTCATCAAATGTTCTAGGATAAAGGAAGAAAAGATAAATATGACTATGAACATGTGGAAAGAGATGTTACCTTAGCAGAAGTCTAGCAAGATACTATTAAAGACCTGGTAGCTAAGTAATTAGAAATTTGAGGAAGAATATAGAAAAAGAAACACATTACATCAAGATGCAGTGTGATGTGTAAGGACCAAGGATCAAGGAATAGGAAGTAATAGGTAAGAAATAAAATTAGTGTAAAGAAGAAACTGGATCAGAGCAGATATGCTGTAGACTATGATTGTGAGTAACTTTCACCTTTTGGGTATCTAATGGTTTCATTTTCTTCATCTCAAGGGCTAAGTGGTAGAAGTTTTGTCCATGACGTTTTAAGACGTACATAAATTTTGATCAACAAAAAGAGTTGTGTAAGCTACAAGTCGATATGCGATAAGAGTGAAGGGGGTCAAGCAGAAAAGAAATAAATTGAAGGGATGTTTCAAAATGCATTGTTGAAAAACCAAGTTCTCTGGTCTAAGAATTGGATTGATAGTGGTGTCCATCACTATGAAATGAGTTCTTTTGACAAGATTAGGAATTGCTTATTATTTTTGCCAGCTATGCATCTGACAGATGATTCATGATGAGAATATACAAAGAATTCCAAAACTAAGTACCAAGAATCAAACATTCTAATTTTTTAAATGAGTAGCATGGGAATAAAATAATCAACAGTTTAACCTAGCCGTGAACACTGGCAGCTACAGCGATGACTGACCTTTCATGATATGTTTACTGTTACAATAGTGGAACAAACATTATGAGAGTAACCAGCCACTGTCTGACTAGATTTAAGACTCCTTGATATCCAGTACATTTAACAAGATCAAAAATCTGCGACTGGGTCATAGGAGCTAAGAGATAATCTAGTATTATTTTTCTGCTAAATGTACATAGTAATAAATCACCACCTACGTTCTTTTATGTATACCCATAGATTAGTGAATCTCTATAAAGAAGTTTTTTTATAAAGTAGATGGAGATTAATGCAGAGGATCACAATTGGTCAACATGTGTAGAATAAATAGGATAGAAATATCACAATCTGTCCCTGCTAAGGACATTAGAAATTACCACAGAAGAGAGACCATGGAGACTGTAAGAGCCAGAGGTAGTGGGAAGCTGTGGTGGCAAAGTAACATTTTACAGACACAACAGTAACAATGCAGACATGAACTCTTAGCACCTACACCTGCATGCCCAAGATCTGCGTATTAACAAGCCAGACAAAATCCCAGTATAGATAAGTATGAGTCACATGGTATTATCTCCAAAAAAGAGATACAAATGGTCATGGAACACTCAAAAGTGTGCTTGATACTACCACCCATTAGGAAACCACTGTAAGATTCGATCACCCAATCAGACTAGCATGAAGAATTACTAACAACAACTAATGCAGGTATAGATGTGGGGAAAGGAAGCCTTTACACACTATTAGTGGAAACGTAAGCTAGTGCATGCTGGAGGTTTCTCAAAAAGAAAAAAAAAAGGGAGTTAACACATGACCCAGATATACACTCCTGGGCAAAGGACCCCATACCCTGTGATGTGGATACTTACATATTTCTGTGTATTGTTGTCCAATTAACAATAACTAGGGTGATGGAAGCAGCTAGTATGTCCACTAATGAGTGGATATTGAAAATGAGGTAAATATACACCATGAAATGTAACTCCTTTTTAAAGAAAAAAAATACAAAAATTTCAGAGAAATGGACAGAATTGGAGAAAAAAATACAGGAAAAGGTAGCCAAAGTCCTCAAAGACAATGCCACATGTATGCTCTTATATGTGGCTTTTAGCTTCAACTCTTCAGCTATTTTTAGTTAGGTTTGTTTAATATTGAGTACCTGTGGAAACTAGAAAACAAGAGGCTGGGCAAGCGGTTATTTAATTTCATGGGAGCTTAAATACTAATATTCATTAAGAGGAATCAACAAACATAATAATACTCTGCATTTCTTATTCGCTTACCTGTTAAAGCAAAACTCTCCTGTAATGCTTGACTGTGCTATTTTTCATCCCCAGTGACCTTTTTATATTATTTTCATTAAGAAGTAGCAAATGTTCTTTCAATGGTGCAGAGAATAAATGGGAAACAGGACCAGTTTCTTTAAAAGGTCATGTTTCAAATATTTTTGGAAAGTCACCAATGCACTTTTTAAAAAATTCTCCACGTTCTAAAATAGATATGAAGTCACAAAGGAAAATGTTTGTGATAAAATTCCAACATTCACTGTTTTTGAAATGTCTTGCATCATTATGTTATGCATGTACTAGATTTATCATTTTTATTATATCCTAGTGTTTGTATTTGGGATGACACTTATGTAATATCAATTTGTTTGAACTTTAGAAAAGAAATTCATGGGCTATTTAATTTGACTAAAATGAGTGTGTGTGTGTGTATATATGTACATATATATATGAAATATTCATATTTTTGTAAGGCCTAAAGTATCATATAAAGGTTTACTCTTGAGGAAAAAACTGAACAATTAAAATGGCTCTAAACACTTCTTGACTTGAATTTTTTCATATCTTTTATCTACTTTATGGGTTGATATATGATCATCAATTAATGAAGTCATTTCTATCATAATAAAATGTCATTAGAACTGCAGTATTCTAGTCTAACAATTTTCTAAAGAGTATGATTGGAGCATTTTAGGTAGTTAAATATTAAAATAATCTAATTGAAAATGAGACTTTCAGATTATTCATTTGGATTGACAAACTACAGACACTGGTTTTGTTCATAAGCACATTTCCATCACTCAATTTTTATAGAGACTGCTAGCATTTATGAGAAAAGGGTAAAACTGATCTTGCCATTGTTCTACTTAACAATATAGATGATCATTTTTGGCTTTCTATGTTTCATGTTCACTTGTTATTAGAATATCTACAATATCAAATTCCTCAAGTATTGTGTCACCTTAGGAATGACCTTCAGTTGTGCAATTGTCAAAGATTTTACCTCCCCATTGAGACTGAAGAATAATGTTTCATTGGCTTCAAGGAAATATTCATCTACGTTTAATTTTCTTGGATGCAAAAAGTATATTATATCTAAGAAACATTAATTCAATGGGAAGAATCGAAAAAGCGGGTGGACTAGCTGAATGGCCCAGAATGCAGAAGCACAGCAAGGAGTGACTTCCTAGTCATTCAAGTGACCATCTTGTCTTCACACTTCTCCTCAGGAGAGAGGGCTTTCAGATGCAGGCAGGTAATAAAGTTTGCCTATAATCTCCCACCAAAAGCTTGCACAAATCCACAAAATTGTCCTCTGCCATAGATATGTGCACCCATGCCCACCCACACATACACCCTCACTAACTAATAAAATATTTTTAAACCTATAAACAAGCTGGATAGGCTTACTGTAACAAAAAGGATGTCTACCAAATCTTTCTTCTGTATCACTTAATCTAGAAAAATAGAATAAAACCCAAATGGTAAATGATACTGTAACTTGGAATATACAGAAAAATTTCTAGTAGAATTTCAGACTCAGGATCTCTTTTCCATAGTTTTTTTAAAGAAAATAAACCAATTAAAACATAAACAAAATATCTTTGCACTGATGACTAAAAGGCAAAAACAACCTTTATCAGACAGTTTAACTTTTTCTAATAATTTTCCTGTGACTTTGTAATATAAGACAATATCTCTCCAATTTAAGATGCTGATATCTTAATGCCCAGAAGAAGCCTGAATATGCAGTTTTGCAATTGCACATGGATCTATGTAGATGTAATAAAGATTCTGAGGATCGATGCATAACCTCGGATTATCTATCTAGGTCCAATGTAACCCTAAGGGTCCTACAAGGAGGAGATAGGACAGTCAGACAGAGAAGAGGTGGCAATAAGTGCTGGACTCAACATGATGCAGGAAGCTAACCCAAAAATCTGGAGAAGTCAGGAAGCAGAAACTCCCTGGAAGCCCTCAAAAGGAGCTAAACTCTGCCTCTGCCCTCGGCATAGTCCAGGGTAGCTCTGCAGGACTTGGCCCACCAGGCTCCAAGACAATAAATTCTTTCCTGACTTCAAACCACTACAATGTCAGCAAAACTGTTATAGCAGCAATGATAAAGAAATGAAGAAATGTTTTTGTTAATTCTGTGTTTTATTTTCTCATTCTAGTGACATTATGGATTTTGCTTAGGACTTCTAAGAAACAGTTCGTCTACAAATGCTGAGAATTTGTGATTTCCCAATCATAGCTATACTTGAGAAAATGCTGGCAAAAAAAAATGCAGTTCCCCAAATACAAAGCCTTCTATTAACCTCTTAATGCTACAAAAATGCTCCTACAGCAGAAATTATGCTGGTAGAACTTCTCCCCTCTCTCCCTCCCTCCTTCCCTAACTCACTCACTCACACACTCTCCCTCTCTTCCTCCCCCCCTCTCTTTCTTTCTCTGCTTCCATTCCTTCTTCTCACAATGATCTTAACAAAATAAAGATGAAAAGAAATAAACCAGGAAATGAGGCAGAAGACAACTGATAAAGAGGTGAAAACACTACTCTCTGCTATGTTCTTAAAGCCCTATAATACTACTAGGAGTGTTGGGGAAAAAGGGGTTGCAATTAGTTTACATCTTCAGAAATATCCCTCAAGCAATGAGATGGAGGCTCAGTTATTAAAAGACCTTCCTAGAACCATGAACAAATAGCAATTTTCAGTAACTTAGAAGAATATAAAAGAGGGCCCAAGAAAAGGCAATAAATTTTGTACTGATATAATATAAGCAAAGTGTTAATCATAACATAGACAAAGTAATTAATTGTTAACAATATGTGTAGCTCTGGTGAATTTAAGCAGGTGATAAAGAACAGCCACACATGATTCTGGGATGTGAAATAAGAAAAAGTGCAGAGGTGAATGACAAAACCAAGTGTGTTTTGAAGAAAAGACAATAAATCCAAGGTAAATGTAATGAATTTGGAGTCTGAGAAAGATCTCAGATAGAGTTCGTGCATAGCTGAGGTACAGGAAGAAGTATGGACTCAGAAGAAGTTATTGACTGGATTTTTTTATAAATCCATCCAGGAGAGCAAAAATCTGGAGGACAATGCACTCAGAATTCTGAGGTGCGCCAAGGGGTGGAAGAAACAGAGAATCTCACAAATGTACCAGGAAATGAGGACAGTGTAAGATCACAAGGTCAAAGTAGGAGAGAGTTAGAGGAATAGAGGTTTTAGCAAAGTCAAATGCCACAGAGAAGAGAGAAGACAGCGAGAAGGAGGTGCTGTTCACAAACCTGGAAATAAGTAGGTCACCAGGGATGCTTAGGAGAACCCTTCGCGGGTATGGACGGAGGGTGGAGAGCAGCCGGCAGAGACAGTGAAATGAACAAAGAGATCTCATCCCTCAGGTGGGTCGCTGACCCCTCTCTCTCCACAAGCTTCATGGAGGAGCTCATCTGATAGTTTAGTTTGAAAGGCTGCCTACCTGTGAATACCTTCCAAGATTGTTTCTCTGTACCAGATCTCTGTGTGGTGTAACATCAAGGGTGCAGTGATCTGTGAAGTAGATAGCACTCAGCACCAAGCTCTCCTTACCCTTTGTGTGGCTGATGCTATCCAGTGGTTTTCAAGGGATACTTCAAAGAGTATGTTCATGCTGTAAACTCTTATCTTTTAAGTTCAAGTGTATATTCTGGGGCTGGGGATGCCTAATCATAAACAAGAAGATACATTTGATGGTTTTCAGTTATTGCAATGGTTTTGTGGTGACTAGAGATTTGTGTACTGTATGTTTGCATGTGTGCTTACAGACAGAGACACCACAGTGTTCATAGACGAAAGGTAATCAATTATTAAACACATGCAGAAGACTTAAGGGAAAGGCGTGATTGATTAGGTAGCTCTGACATCTAGCCTGGGGTCATGGAATTCTTCTGAACACACTTGAACCTCAGAATCAAGATGCTTCGATATACCTCATAGATTTGTATAATACTTGAAGCTTTGCCTGCAATTGTTCAGTAACCATTTAAGAAGACGTTCAACCTAACAGCAAATTTCCATGCTTGTTAGTACTGATTGTTGTGTGCAAAGCAGCACTCTTCCATGAAGGAGGTATGGGAAGTAAGCTTGTCTATCAACCACGCTTCTTCAAACTTCAGTGGTAAACATGGCTCTAGCTTCTTGGTTGTGACTTGCACACTACTTTACAATTATACAATGGTTGACATATTCTTAACCTTAAATATTACCACTTCCAATGAGCACAGCAAAAATAGTGATCAAGTGCACAGACAATTTGGTGTCTCAATGTTGCCACCACTAGTAACTTCACTCTCCATCAGAGGCTCAGCATATACAGCCTACAGGCTGAATTTTTTAATATGCAGCTACAAAATTATAGGATAAGCAATCAGGTGGCAATGAATTGGATTCTTATAGATTAATATTTACTCACAGAGAATTTTGATATTCATTGATTATTCCTTTTTATGATCTCCAACTTAATCACCTATAATAACCATTCCTTGTTTATGTTTTAATTAATTAGCTAAGGTGCAGAGAAATAAAGTTTACAGACTTGAAAGCAAACCAGCCAGATCTCCTTACGTCTATCCTTATGCTCACTTCTAAGCTAAAGATTACATTCATGGTACTAGTGATAGTAGTAAACTCGGTGAATATAACCATATCCATTTCTTGTTCTGTCTGCCTTTTCTCATTTGACCGTCACATCCAGCCAGTGAGTTGAGAATTCTTATTCTCTATGCCCTACACAATATGTTAAAGACCGGAAGTATGTGAAAGAACAAAGCAAGCACCCAAAACCAATTCCTTGCTTCCAACCAGTAGCCATAATTTGAAAGTTTTGCTACTCAATTTAAACAAATACCTTCATGAAAACTTCTAATGTGGAGAATTTTTAAAATACTCTCCCTGTATGTATGTATACTTTTGCATAGCCAACTAAATATAGTCTTAAATGTGTAAATGACGTGAAACATCAAGATGATCACTGAAATAGTATGAATCATGATATTACAGACTGTCAAGAACATGGAATATTTAAATATTTAACCCCAAGGCCCCTCTGATGGCATTCTCTGTAGTAAGAAATCTTACAAAGCTGTCTCATTCATGGAAAACACTTTGATGCTGAAAACAATTACTCACAATATTGCTGGGAAACCTAAACTTGAAAGCAAAGACAAAGTAAGCTTCCTTTCTCTTGATCAATTACAAATTTAAAAAATAGCATGATAGATTAAGTGATTCTAACAGAGAGAAAATACGAGTGTTAGGTTATCTGAAGAAACTTGTCATGATTTTAAAGTCTTTGTAAACATTTTCCCCTTCTACCTAAACTTATCATTGGATTTATTTCTTTAAGTACATGAGATAACATCTAAATCCTGAACATTTACAAAACATTTTCTCAAGAAAAGTAAGAATTTGAGGGAGTTAAGGAACAGCACATAAATAATTCGCTCTAACAATAACAGGATATTTCAGATTCTCAATGTAAATACATTAGGCTACTTAACCAACATAAACCAGACTTTATAAAAATATGCTTAGAGCACACAATAGCCTCGTTATGTCTTCCCCATAAAATCCAAGACTATAATATAAGCATAAATCATTCTTTGCATTTTTACAGTGTTATTTTTGTCTTGCCTGGATTTGGGAGTTCGTTACAAAATCAAGTTTCCGAGGGGACATTATAAATGATACCCGAAATGGCTTCCTTCAAAACTACCTCAAGTAATAAGTCCAGGCAAATTCTCTTGCCTCTCGCGAACTTTTCAGTGTTTTGTTTTTGTTTTCTCTCATAGATTCCCTGTAGAAGTACTGTTACTACTGGCAAGGTCAACATTGTTTACTAAAAACATGCTGATGAAATGCAGGGCTGATTAAGTGAGTTACACAATATCTGAGAAGTAACTTACTGCCACAGGTCTATTATCAGCCCTTCAGAAGTCAGCAAAAATGAGACTTTCCCAGGATGCTCCCAAGTTGGAATAAAGTTTCAGTCTTATTGAAACGTCTGTGCATCAGGAATATGTGATTGTGTTGTAGCCTATAAATACATATTGCCAACTCTAACTATCACTGAGACATCTCAGTCTAGAAAGTCAACTGCTGGAGCATGTCACTTTCAAACCGTTCTCCCTGGTCCCAGGGAAATAGGTGCAGATTTCAAAGAAAGCTATTTAAAGTAGATTCTGGTATACAGCCTCCCACATGCTTCTGAGTCAAATTTGTCTGTTAGGATGTCTCCAGTCAATCTGACCACTTCAGCCTGACAGGCAAGCCAACCAAATCAGCAGTCAGCAGGCCCAAAAATCTGTCAAACCATTGCCTTCACTGGTGATTACATTTTGAGTGACTTGAGCAGTGAAGTTAATCAAAATAGTCAAACCAGGGTTCCCATGTATACCATCGCAGGGTCTGCTATTTCTGGACTTGTGCTCTGTTTATATATTTGAAGAGAGTTTTATTACATGGCATTGTTTAGGAATAACAAGCCCAAAAGGTTGTGAGCTGCTAGTTTGACAAGCAAGGGCTCACACCACCGGGCTTATTTCACAGCTTCCACGGTGGAGAAAAGGCCCAGGGATTGTCTGAGAGCAATGGAAAAGAGACGAGTGGTAAGAGCCGGAGAAGAGAACTTGGGACCACACACATGCCCACAGGACCACATTTCTCAGCTAGGAGGTTAACACATGTGTTCAAACAAAAGAACGGGTCTGCCATACTTTCTCAGATGAAACAAAACACCAAGGAGAATTCCACGCAAGATGTGGTGGACAGGATACCAGTATCCACGGTTCTTTCATTCTCAGCAGGAGTAGCCATTTTATCAAGAGAGATAACTGTGAAAACACACCCTTACTACATTTGAAACTGGGGGTGAAAGTAAGTCAGCTGATCATTGACAGCCATTGCAGAAATGTATCCCAATGCTCACAAAGCGGTCTTAGATTGCAAGTTTTAGAATCAATCCAGCCAGTCATAAAACCTGGCTCCATACTGAATGGCAAGCTTTATGACTTTGGACCAGATAGTCCCTACCAACGTGCACTTAATTGCACAATAGATATAATACAACAACATAGCTTGCTCCAATTAAAGCTACTTTGTTTGAGAAAATCATTTCCAATACTGGACAATACCTTGTGAACCACAGGAAGGTGATCCAGCTCAAGTACACCATAATATTGACAGCTTCCTGTTCAAATAAAGTATTTTTTAGTAGTAGACTAAACAGCATGTGTTATTGAAGTGTGGTCACTTTAATAGTTAATCATTCAGTATATTTCCAATATCTAATAGTATCACTAATAAGCATAATGGCAAACATTGCAATATTTCTAGTCTGTGCAGTCGATGATAAACTTTGTCCTTTGTTTCTATTTAATGCCATAGAAGTCCTAGTAGATAGATCAAATTCACAAAAAATGCTGATTGTCATAAACCTTATAACCTAGCTAGGATCAAACAGCTGGTATGACAGAGCACTTTGGAAATCTAACCATCTTGCTTTAAAACCTACACACCTTCTACCTCATGTTGCTAAGAACATACAATACACATAACAATGGCTTGCATTTTGGGTGACCCAACAAAGAGAGTGGTTGCTATTGCAGGATTGGAACTTCTTCGGGAGACATATCTCACTCAAAGAGAATGGTCAGAAAACCATAGAAACTAGAACAACCCAACCTAACACTCACCTAGCATGTGCACAATTCTGTTATTCTACTTTCTAAATTGATACATTAGGCTCCAAAACAATGAGTGTTTGCCAGTCAAAGCTTCCAGGTTTCAAAGGACTTGGAGCTATAAAAGACTTTAAAGACTTCCCTATCCAGCAAACACAAGGTGTTAGTTAATGCCTTACCATGTGATGACAACTGCAATATGAATAGGTAGAAAACTGAGAAGTATTTACAGTGTCAACATGATTTCATCCTGTTTTCATGGGTAACTTTTTGGTCCTCACTAGACCCCATAATCTCAAACAGCAGTGTGCAAAAATCCTGAAGAGTGAAGGAACAGGAATGAACTACACCACTGGGCAGAGCCCAGGCTTCCAGCTAAAACTCAACATTGGAGGGTATGATCTAATGTACAGGATTAACATCTCAGGGGACTTGCCCTGGGTCAGCTCATCTCTCTGTGATGTCTTATTCTCCAGATGGAAATAAAAACAGTGAACTCTTTTAAATGTGCCCTATGGTCTGATTAAAGATTGAAAAGGGCTCTAAAAATCCACAGCACTCCCAGGGAAAATGCTAAATATCATTATCATTATTACACCAAATGCCATAATTTGGTCTCCTCAGATTCCCTTTTTATGTAGATTCCATCAAACTCTGACTTCTGACTTTTCTCCTCTCTGACCAAATCTCCAATGACAAAGCAAAGGGAAATGTTGAGGCAATTAGTGGAAAATGGAAGCAATTAATTCCCTTTTTTAGTGGAGACCTGGCCTCTGTGAACCAGTTTAACCAAAAATAATCAATGACCTTTCTCTGCCCAAACTGAAGCAAATCTACTTGATATTTGTCACTGGTTATCCATCTACTGCTTCGACATTAATGAGTCTCTTCACTTTTCCCCTTTCTTTCATGAAATGAAGACATCTTTTC